TCTTGTTTTTTCTCTTGATCTTGACCTTTATGATAAGTCTGAGCTAGTTATCTTGCCCAGTATCCCATAATCTAGATGTATCTGATTGTTTTCTGCAGGTTGTTGGCACAGATGTACAGGGATGGTGCCGTGTCTTCTGGCATCACCTCAGGAGATAAGTGATGCTGGTTTGTTTACAATTGGCGGTGCCAGCTTCGATCTCATGGTGAAGGTGGTGACAGCCAGATGTCTCCATTGTTAAGGAACATTCTCCTTCTGTGATCAGTAAATAATCTGTAGTGTAATACCTTGGCACAATGTAGATCTCCTGTTTCCCAACAACCTTTCACCTGCCTGGATCTTTTTTCAAATCTGAGTGGTGATTTTATGCTCTCAACTTGGAGTTTTAGCTCCCTCTTTTTATTTCTTTAAAAGCATTAAATATCCCTGTTTTATATGCCTGAATGCCTTGTGCACTAGAGGTCTTGTTCTGCCTCTTGTTGTTTCTCATGGCTCTCACTCACGGTGCAATTTTTCCTTTTTTGTTTCTATGAGTTTTGATTACTTGCATTTCATAGGGCTTTATCTATGAATTCATTCAGGCCGGTGTTGAAGGTAGGCTCCTTCTGAGAGCCATTTACAGACTGAAGTTTTGAGGACCTCCCAAGGTGGTGTAAATTAGGACCAAACCCTGGGAGCTGGCATTATTCTGGCAACTCTGGTTGTAGGTTTACTTCTGGTTCAGTCTAACACTGAGAATGTAGCCTTGTGGGGGTCTCATCTTTATGGAGATACTCCTGTGAGATTGCCCACTTTGGGAGAGCCCTAGCATTGTCTTTCATCGATTCAGAGGCCTTGCTTGAGAACCAGAATTCTGGGTCGCTAATGTAGCAAATGCCCTCAGGGCAGGCACCAACTGGGGGCTCCGCAGACCTCACTAGGTTTAATTCCACTGAAGCGTTGGGCCTGTGAAGGTTCTAAACTTTTTCTGTTGTTGTTGTTGTTTGTTTTTACCAGCTTAGTGATGTACTGAAGATTTTGGTTTTTTATTTTATTAGCATTTTTAGTTGTTTTGTGGGCATCTATCCTGCCAGGTAGTAGTGCTTCCCTAGTCTGTGCTGGTTATGGAATTCTTAGTGCCTCTTGGGGCTGCTGGAGCTGTTCTAGGCACACGTGTGGGAGGACTTGGGGTCCTCTTTGAGGCACTCCCAACATCCTGTGTAGCCTGTCCTTATACTCCCAAGCAGGCAGGACCCGGTTGGCGGGGACAGGCAAGAGCAGTGCATGGGTATCTATCTCTGGGTGGTGGCTCCCCTGCTTGGGCTCACTTCATGCTGTTTTTGATTCCAAGCTTCTTCTGGGACCAGTGGCTCTGGGGCAGTAAAAGGAAAGGATTCTGTGACTGAGTGGGACCTGTTTGCAGGTTAGGCTGTGGGGCACACAGAGGTAGGGACCCGTGGTCTTTGGGTACCAGCTTCTCCCCTGGCCCTGCCTCTTCTGTGTTTGCCAGTCACTGGTAGGTTGTGTGTGTTCTCCTGCGCACACCCCCCCAGGAGGGGCGTCCTTGGGTCCCTGTGGCTGCTGCACCTGCCCAAGGTACACATGGCTTTGTGGGACGGTAAGTTCCAAATGTAGCCCTGATGCCTTTCCACGTGGGACCCTGCTCCCGCCCCTGCCCCTGCTGCTGTCCACACCAGGAGGGAGGGTCTGGGGCCCCTCTCTGTGTGGATGACCCTATGTAAGCCCTGCCAGACTGCTGCTTCTAAGATGGGATGTAGGGGGGCGCTGTCATCCTCCATCCATGGGCCAAGGGCCTGAGGGGCTTTCAGGGGGGTGGGGGAGTGGGGGGTTCATAACATCAGTTGGAAAGGCTGTCAGAGTTGCGCAAATTGTGTCAGATTGTCTTTCTTTTTAATTTTGAAAAGAATGTGTCTCTCTTTGACATCTCGAGGAGCAGGCAGAATCCGAAGTTGTGCTCAGTGGATTAAGTTTCATGTTCCTTTGCCCTCTGGGAGGAAAAGACAAGTGACAGAACAGGGAAACGAAGCAGCGGCGGGCGGCTGGTATCACGCACTGGTGTTGCACAAGGGGCTGTGGCCTCCGCTCTGGGCGGCCCAGTGCCAGGGAAGATAGGATAACGCGATTATTCTCAATTAGATTAATAAAGAATAATTAGATGTCATAAATCAAGTAATCATAGGATATTGTCATGGGAAAAATATGTAGCTAGAATTAATTAGTTTTCAAATAAAGCATTTATTTTAATTGCTTGAAATGATGGAGCCCTTAATTGCCGATGCATCATTTTGGCCTGAACATTTTGGTTGTTGTAACAACGTGACGGGTTTGTTCCCTGCAGTTCTGGGGAAACAATAGAGGAGAACTTGATTTCATCACCTCAGACTGAGCCTTGTGCTGGTGAGGTTCTGGAAACTCCCATCAGGCCGCAGGCAGGTGGCAAGTGTGGGCTGGGCTTCGGCTGGCACTGCCCAAGGCCCCCATGCTATGAATGTGTGTGTGAGTATGTGCATGCATGTGCATGCGTGTGTATGTATATGTGAGTGGATGTGAATGTGTGTGCCTCCTGTGCATGTACGCAAGCACGCGCTTGAACGTGGTGTGTGTGCAAGTCGGGACTGTACCGTGGGAACCTGCACAGAAGTGGCCTGTAGGACTCCAAGGCCTGGACTGTGGGGTGGAATGCTCCCCACTCCCTAGCCCCTAGGGACCAGGGCTTTTCTGGTGGGTTGATGTGCATTAGCGGGGTTCTCCATTCTTGGGTTTTTCCAAATCTGAGATCCTGGAGCTGATCAGCTATTCTTGCAGAGCAGGCATAGCACAGACAGTCAGTAGCTTCTGAGGATCCAATAGCTGCTCCTCGGAACTTGTCCCAAGCCCACCTGCTTGAGGGTAGCCTAGCAGGGTTTTAGCCCCAGCCCAGAAGCATCTCCAGGCAGCTTACCTGTCCCACAGCAGAGCAGGGGCCATGGGTTGTGGAGCAGTGTGGGGTCAGGTTCTTCTGCCCACAGGAGGCTGTCCTTATGTTTGAGAAGAGTCATTTGGTTTTCAGCCAAAGGGACATTCCGAGGGACCCCTTCCTTCTCTTTGAAACCCCTCGATGAAGGCAGGATGGAGCTGTAGAGTGGCTTCCTGGGGTCTCTCACCATTAAGGGTAAGCTTCTGCCCCTTCTTGGCCCTGGCCCTGTAGTCTCTGCTCTGGGTCATTAGGATCTCAGCCCCCAGCCCTACTTCCAGCCCTCACATGGGCCAGGCCTCAGCCAGCCTGGTGCTGGCAATGGCCTCCTGCCGGGTCTGTGCAGTGTTTCCCAGGTTCCTGTGGTCTCCAGAGGCTCGGGTCACTGACCGCCTTGTGCTGCCTTGGTGACTTAGAGCCCCCTGGTTTGCAAGTCCCCAGCTGCCTTGACGGTGGCATTTCTTAGGTGTTTTGAACCTTTTGCTTAATCAAGCTACTCCTGGCTCTATTCTGATGGGAGAGAGAGAACGAAAGGGTCTGGGATGGTTTCAAGGAGGGGAGGTACACAGGGCTTCGCTGTTAAGGGTGTGGATGAAGCAGTGCCTGGACTGATCTGCTGGAGAAACCCATGCCTCTCTTGCCTCTGCGCCTGAGCATTTGCCTGTCCTCAGCCTGCAGCCCTCTCCTGCATGGGCCTCCTCCGTCCTTGGCCTAGAACCCTCTCTAACCTCTGGCATAGGCCAGAGCCCCCTCCTGGAGGAATGCTGTCTTCTCTGCTCCTGTCCTTTTCCCTGCCCCAATTCCTCTGGTGGCTGTGGCTGTGGCTGTGGCTGTGGCTGCTGCAGTGGTCGGGTGACCTCCTCCCTCATGGGCAGGTTGGGAAGTGTCTCAGAGCCCAGCAGGAGAGGCCCTCCTGATGAAGTTACTACAGTTCCCCAGCAGTCTGCTCCTGGCCTTTCCCTTTCAACCTTCAGCCTGGCCTGGGACCTGCCCCTTGGTCATTGGGGCAGGTCACTTCTGGTCCAGCAACCACCCCTGTACCATCACTGGGGCAGGCTCAGGCGGGGACACAGGGAGGCTTCTTCTTTCAGGTGGGTGGGCCCCAGCAGGCTTTAAACATAGGACCAGTGATTTGAGGAAGGGTCACTCATCTGTGATATCAGTCCTCCAGGGGAGTGGCAAGGTGACTCAGTCTCTTGCCCCTTGCCCACACACCAGTGCCCAAACCACTCTGCCCCTTTGTGGCAGCATGCCACTTCAGGCCTGGGTCTGAGTGGCCTGGGGCAGCTCACCAGATCAGTCTCTGCCCTAGTTTCACCAACAGCAAATGGGGTGCTGCCTTCTCGAAGGGTGGTTGTGCAGGCCTTCAGGACCCAGCACACGTGAGGGAGAGGGCCCTCTCCATCTTTGGGTCCTGCTTGCCCAGGGACCCCACACACCTCTTGTCTGTCCATTGGTTCATCCCTTCAGTATACACTTGCTGAGCAGCTGCTATGTGCTTGGCCAGGCCTGTGGTCTGGGGGGAGCAGACCAGCGTGGCCCCTGTTCTCACAAGCTTGCTGCGGGGCCTAGGTGGGCAGCATGTCCCGGCATGTCTTTGCCCCGTTGCAGGGAGGAGAGGAGATGGGCCTCGTGAGGGAGGAGGGAGACTGAATTTGCAGGATTCAGCTAGGTCCAGAGATGAGACTGGGTGTGTGGAGAGCCCAAGTGAGGAGGAGTCTTCCCTGGCTAGAGCAGTGCTGCTGCAGCCAGTGGGGTCCAGGGAACCAGAGGTTACAGCCGGTGGGTGGACAGGGAGGCCTGGAGGCCAGTGGCTGTCTCTACGCAGGACACTGAGGGTAAGAGTGGCCTCAGAAGGGTGTGGGTGCCATGGTGCCCACCCAGAGACAGTATAGGTTGGGGCCACGGTGATGCCATTTGAGTGTAGAGGCCAATAGGCAGGATGGAAGACAGGCTGAAGGGGGTGGGCAGCATCCAGGGGGGCTCCTACTGACTACCTTCCTGAAGGATGACAGGTGTGTCACTTACACCCTCCCTTGGTCCCCAGGTAACTGCACCTCCTCCCAGTATGGCAGCCTCGCCGCTCCCACCGCCAGACCCGCGGTTTGTCCTCCGAGGTACCCAGTCGGCAGTACATGCGCTGCATTTCTTCGGAGGAGCCGAAGGGCAGGGGCAGCCGCTCCTCCTCTCAGGGTGAGTAGCTGCGGTCCCAACCTAACCCCAGGGGTTAGCCCAGGGTGAATTCAGAAGGTGGTGGGCTAGCAACGAGCCCGGCACTCAGTTGGGGGTCCTAGTGAAGGGCTCAGGCTGCCCATCACTTGGGCAGACTGCCCTTTCAGAGCCTACTCGACAAGCTGTCCCTTGGGCCCGCCCCCCTCGGAGGAGGTAGGAACATGCCCTCTCTGTTATAGACACCATCCAGTTTACAGTGTCGATGGAGCTCCCCCATTCCTCTCCAGAGAAGTAGACTCTGCCTGAAGGACTCTCTGCCCACCATCCTTGGAAAAGGAGCACTGTGCCACTTTTACCCTTAGTTCACATGTACAGCCATCACCTAAACGAAAACCCAACAACGGAACATCTGGTCCACCAGCTGGGTGGTTTCCAGGCCAGCCCTACAGAGCATGCTGGGAATGTCCTCCACTGACGCCTCTTCCTGAGTCTGTGCTTGCACTTGTCAGAACAGATCCCTGAGTGGGCTGGTGCACATCTGGAGCCTGCAGACACGGAGGGCGGTTGCTACCCTGGACGGCCATCGGGGCCAGTGTGTAACCTGGCTGCATTCATTGCCCCAAGGGCACCAGCTCCTCAGGTGGGTCTTGGTGGCGGTGAGTGCAGTCCCAAAGGAGTTAAGCTGTGGCTTTCACCAGGGGCCAAGAGCTTGCCAGTGGAGGCTCTTGGGGTTTCCCCCAGCTGCCAGGCAGCCCCTCCCAGTGTGGAGCAGTGTGACCTCTGCCCTTGGTCTGCCCTGAGACTGTAGGTGGGCTGGGTGCCCATCACTGCAGCATCTGTGACCACTGCGCTATCCAGGCAGGTGCCCACTGAGATGATGAACACAGAAAGCAGCTCTGTCTACAGCCCCACACCTCCCTGGCCTGAGCAGGCCTCTCCAGGGGCAAGAGCTGGGGGCTCAATGGCTGAGCCCAAGGCATCTCCTTAGAGGAGCCTCAGCTTTCCTTCCCCAGGGCTCTGGTGTCACAGCGGCTGCTTTGATGGGTGGCCACCTTCCCACGAGGTGGCTAGGACTGGTCACCAGGGTGGTGCAAAGCCTAAACCTAATGCCTACCCACTGACTGGGGCTGTGCTCCAAACCCTGAGTGTGGCCACCCCTAGGGGCACTGACAGTGCCACACAGGCACCCAGGTCCATGGCATTTGGGCTGACCAGTGCAGGGTGAGATGGGATGGCGAGAGCGAGGTGGGGTCTGGCACTCCTGGTAGAAGAAACTGCGTGTGCCAAAGCCACTGCAGGCCCAGCCTGTGCGTGTCATGGGGGCTGTGAGGGATGGAGGCCGGGCAGCAGAGCCCAGAGGGGCTGTGTTCTGGCACTGCCACCACAGCTTTGTGGAGGTACCAGCTTGGGGACTCCAGGTGAGAGGTGGGCCAAGAGGCAGCAGGAAGGGGCAGGTGGGTAAGAGAATGAGTTTATGTCTATCAAGTTTAAGTGAAACTTTCCTGAATGCCCTCCAGGGCAGGTCTGTGTTCCTTCTCTAGATTTGGAGCCCAGACATCTGGGTACCATGGTTCCCAGTCCCCAGAGGAGGAGGCCTGTCAGGCCCCCACCCATCTTCAAAGCACTTTTGTGCCAGACATGCCGTTCCCACCACCCTGAAGGTGGCTTGCAGGTGCCTGACAGACTGGAGGTATCTGGAAGGGCAGTGGCCCCGGATGTATGTGCTTGCAGGGCCGTTGCGGCACCTTGCCCCCTCCCTGGCCAAGCTGGCCCCCATCTTCAGTTGGTAGGGAAGGCCCTCCATACAGTTGTGGTCTTTCCCTGATCCTCAGAATAGATGTTGTGTCCAAATACCCCACTTGCACTGGAAGTTCCTATTTGTAAACGTTCCTCTTGAGTTTTCAGCTGAGGCCTTAGACCCTTTGGGGTCTCCTGCTCCTCCAGGGCCCAGATACCTTGGGCTGTTCTCAGGGAACTCCTGGCCCTGAATTCTGCTCCCTGAGCTGGCCTGATGCTGTGTGGGGAATAAATGTTGATGGTACCTCCCCTTCCAACCTGGATGGCACGGCGGTGGTCCTGCTCTGGGCAGGGGGCCCGTGGGTCAGGAGGTCCACAGCACAGACTGTGCAGGTACTTGGAATGCCCAGGTGCATTTACGTTGCACTAGAGGCCGTGCACCCAGCTGTGTTTGGAGCCAAGTCTCTCTAAAGTGGCCCTTGAGAAAGGAAGGTACACTTTCATGTCAAGGGGAGGCCAGAGGACAGAAAGCTGGGAGCCAGGCTGAGAGTTAGTTGCCGCCTGCGTGCCTGAGAGCACACCTGTGCCAGTGACAGCCACCTGGGTGGATTTGTTTCCTCCCTTTTTCATTGCGAATTGTGCATACTTAGAGAAAAGTGCATATAACATGTTTACAGACCGTTGTGTTATTACAGAGTGGACACCTGGGTAACCACTCCAGTCAGGAAACACAACACTGCCGGGCATGATGTCTGCCCCGCTCCTGGCCTCGGGAGGCAGCCCCTTGCACCTTATTCTCACTGTGTCATCTGAATGTGCATTTCCAAAATGCATAGAGTCGTCATGTCTAATTTTTTCTCTACTTAAAAAAATGGAGCCATACAGAACAGCTTCCTCTGTATTTGACTTCTTCTATTCAGCTTTACGTTGTGAGATCCACCATCATGCTACACAGTGCATTGTGTGGGTTTTTTCCTGTGTGGTATTCCACTGGATGTGGATTGTTTACCATTCTACTGTCAGTAGAGATCTCGGTTGTCCACTTGGGGCTGAGAATGACACTTAGGAAGGCTCCTGTCTGGGGTACCTGGGTGGCAGTTAAGCGTCCAACTCTTGATCTCAGCTTAGGTCTTGATCTCAGGGTTGTGTGAGCACAAGCCCCTCATTGGGCTCCATGCTGGGCATGGAGCCTACTTAAAAAAAAAAAAGAAAAGAGAAGAAAAAAAATCTTAAAAAGAAAGAGTCCCATCTGGGTCTCCTGGTGCCAGGTGTGCCGTGTCTGCAGGTGGGACCCTATACCCAGAGGTGGGCCGTCCGGGCCACAGGGTGTGCACATGTTGGGCTGCTCAGAAGGTGGCAGTCTGTCCCCAGTGCAGTAGGTGATCCCAGCCTTCCACTGCCCCCTGGGGCCTGGGAGCTTCTGGTGTGGCCTCATTTGCATTTTCCTGACCACTTAATGAGCCAGCCCTCTTCTGCTTCGTTAGCCACTGGGACAAAGTCTTCCTTAAATGCGCATTTCTTTATTGGATTGACTACCTTTTTCTTACTGAGAGTTCTTTTTATATTCTGGATATGGTTGATATTTTTATATCACCAGTTACTTCTCCACATGGTGGCTTACAGTTTGCACTCACTTACTGGTGTCTTTAATGAGCAGAAGTTAGCCATTGAAATGGAATCAAATCTGCCATCTTTCCCTTATGGCTGGAGCTTCACTCTTGTTTCTTTTTGCCCACACTTCATTTGGAATTGCCTCATCCATTGGAATGGATGAGCATTCTTTGTTTCCATTTGGATACCCAGTGGTCTTGTCCTCCCTGCCCCTGTTTCCCCTCCAAGTTCAGTGACGTGGGCAGTTGAGGAAGTAGGTAGTGGGGAGTGGCTTCCAGGCAGGGATGTTGGAGTGGCATGCCCAGTGGCCAGAGAACGAGGGTGATGGGGGCGAGGTCTCAGAGTGGCTGGGGAGGTTGGGAGACTGGCTGCATCATGCAAGCAAGCTTGTTGGGGGAGCGTGGCAGTAAATATCTTGAGGAAAAATGGGAGGCAGATTTTTCATGGGTCAGAGAAGGAAGTCACAAACCTGAGAAGGAGGAGGTGGGGAGGAAGAAGCTTCAGGGCATCAGCATGAACTTGTGGCATTTTGAAAATATACACACAAAGATAGACACAGAAATTCTTGTGTGTGTATGTTTGCATGTGTGAGTGTGTGTGTTTGTGTGTGTGAGGTATGTTTGCATGTGTGAGTCTGTATGTGTGGTATGTTTGCATGTGTGTGTGTGTGTGGTATGCTTGCATGTGTGACTGTGTGTGTGGTATGTTTGTGTGTGTGTCTGTGAGGTATGTTTGCGTGTGCGAGTCTGTGTGTGTGTGGTACATTTGTGTGTGAGTCTGTGGGTGGGTGTGAGGTATGTTTGTGTGTGTGAGTGTGTGTGTGAGGTATGTTTGCATGTGTGTGTGTGAGATATGTTTGCATGTGTGAGTCTGTGTGAGGTGTGTGTGTGTGTGTGTGTGTGAGGTATGTTTGCGTGTGTGTGTGTATGTGGTATGTTTGCATATGTGAGTCTGTGTGTGTGAGGTATGTTTGCGTGTGTGTGTGCACGTGAGGTATTTGCATGTGTGTGGTATGTTTGCATGTGTGAATCTGTGTATGTGTGTGTGAGGTATGTTTGCATGTATGAGTCTGTGTGAGATATGTTTGCATGTGTGAGTGTGTGTGAGGTATGTTTGCGTATGTGAGTCTGTGTGTATGTGAGGTATGTTTGCATGTGTGAGTGTGTGTATGAGGTATTTCACATGTGTGAGTGTGTGTATGAGGTATTTTGCATGTGTGAGTGTGTATATGAGGTATTTGCATGTGTGAGGTACGTGTGTGAAATATGTTCGCCTGTGTGAGTCTTTGTGTGTGGGGAGGTGTTTGCGTGTGTGAGTGAGCTGTGTGTGTGTGTATTTCCTGGCCCTGTCTGCTGAGAGGGCCTGGTGGCGGCAGCACCTCACAACAGTGAACAACACCAGCATCCAGATCTTGGTTTGCAAATATCTCTCTGCACTGAAAGGAACAAGGGTCCCTTGGAGAAATGATACTAGGTCTGGAATATCTTGCTGATGGACACGTGTCAGAAGGACTCTGAGCCAGCTTGAAGGGGGTCCCATTGGCTGATCTGGGATGGTTTAGCACAAAAATAAATAGTGAGAAGTGTAGATGACAACCCACTGAGTAACACAGGAATGTGTAAGTCCAGAGCAATGGGGAGGCGAAAGTCCGTTCTTCCTGTGGGATAGCACCTTGTAATTGTAGAAGGTGGTGGGCTTGGGAGTCACCCACCAGTGGCTGTGAAGGCCTCAAGGACAGGTGGGCAGCCCTGCTGTGTGCCAAGGCTGAGCCGTTTGAGGGTTAGGATACAGACTGACAACTAGAGTCCTGGGTCTTTGTAAAGGTGTTTTTCCTTTAACTTTTCAGTATCGAGTCAACACGCTTCTCCAACATCCCGCAGGTCGGCTCCTGGGTGCCCTTCCCCTTGGTCACATTGTGTCATACATTTGTCATAGTCTGCAGTTTGTCTTGGGACCCTGACACCCTGGCTGTTTTCTAAATGTGTACATGCCGAAGTCTGCTCTTTGTGGACTCGTCCTGTGGGCTTGACGATGCCCACAATCACGTAGGGCCACCCCAGGGCCACACAGGGCGGTCAGCACGCTGCAGGGCCTCTGTGCACCCCCTGTAGGTGGTACCCCAGTCCTCCACATGCCATCATGCTCCCCCCCGCCACACACACAGAGAACGCCCCACCAGGGCAATCGTACAGAAGGTGGCCTTTAAGCTCTGGCTCCCCTCACTTAGCAGATGTTCCTACAGGTGGTTGCATGCGCCCCAGTTTGTCCCTGTCTGTTGCTGAGTGGAATTCTGTGGTGTGGATGCGTCACTGGTTTCTCAGTCTCCTGTTGAAGGGTTGTTTCTGGTTTGGCTCGGGCAGTTATGAACAGAGCTTCTGTAAACATTTGTGTATGGGCTTTTATGTGAATATAGGTTTTAAATTCACTTGGGAGAATTCGTGAGGGTGGGATTGCTGGGTTGTCAAAGTTCATTCACAAACAGAAGGAAGAGAGTGAACTCATGCTTTGGCAGCATAGGGAGTGGCAGAAAGGGCGCAGGAGGCTGGGCTTGGGGCAGGGGCCATGAGGTTCCCTGGGCCTGGGTTCATAGTGCACCCCTGGGACGACCCATGAATGTGTGAGGCATCAGGCATCTTGGATGCAAAGCCCTTCCTTGGCTGCAGTTACCCAGCCAGATAATTGAGGCCTTCTAGGTCCCTCTCTGGAAAGTGTCCCCTGCCTGCCTTCGGCGTCAGGCTGGCCCTGGCATGCTCGTCCAGGTGGGACACCCAGTCTGCTCACCTGGGAGGCTCACGTTCTGTCTCCTCTTGGTCTGGCAGTCAGGGCCGGGACCTGAAGCTGTGCCTATGGGACCTGGCGGAGGGCAGAAACGCTGTCGTGGACTCCATGCGCCTGGAGAGCATGGGCTTCTGCAGGAGCACCGTCCTGGCCAGGGGTCAGAGGCACTGGATGCTGGCCATGCCGGGGAGAGGCAGTGACGAGGTGAGCACCAGCCCATGTGGTGCCCCTGGCTCCACAAGCTGCTGGCACTTGGTTTCCCTAAACACATATGCTCATCCTAAGCACCTGTTACAGGAACCCTGTGCCCACCACAGAACTCCACAGAGTGGTGGGTCTAGGTCTGTCTGCTGGATCACAGCTCCAGGGGCCTTGACCTGGCCTCCTGTGAGGTGTCCAGTGGTGAGAGTCAGGAAGGGAGGCCCCAGCACCCACTACCATATGGCACGGGATGGGCGAATGTCAGGGGAGAGACTGCTCAGACAGGTCCTCAGAGGACTTAGGAGGAGACACACATGGGGGGATGTCCCAGGCAGGCTAGCAGGAGGTGGTGGGAGAGAAACTGAGGCCTTATGGAAGTCTGGGCGTCGGAGCCAGGGCAGCAGGGGAGGGAGGCCTTCTGGGGAGCTGAACTGGGTCCTGGCATGAGAGACCTCAGTCAGATGTGGGATGCTGGGGGCAAAGACTGGTACCAGGGCAGTAAGCTCAGTATAGGGGGCACAGGTGAGCAGAGGAACTCAGGGAATGGGGCTTCGGGTGGGCGTGATGGAGCCTCGGAAGTCACCATCATATGGGGCTCCGGCCAGAACAGCTAGCAGTAGTTGGTGACAGGGAGCTGGGCAGGCTAGACAGCATGTCCACACCCCCAGAGGCAGAAGAGGCAGAGCCCACCATGGGAAGCAATGCCCAGGACATGGGAACAGATGGTGGGACGCAAGGGTGGGAGGGTAAGGTGGAAGATGTGGGTATGGGTGGAGGTGCCAGCTTTTGGGGAGCTAAAAGGTAATTGAAGAAAAAAACCCAGAAGCAGCAACCAGACAGGCCTGGTGAGTGTCGGGGCATGGCTGCTCAAGGGCCGGGCCGAGTGTAGGGGGTCAGGGGCTCTGAGTATGGGCAGGGAGGGCTGGGGTGTGCACTCGTACAAGGGGAGGGAGCCTCCTGGCTCCTTGTCCCCTGCTGGCCCCAAGAGGCAGTGCAGCAGGCAGCGCTGCGCAGGGACCCGAGGCCGCGTGCACACAGTGAGGTTTGGCCCCCACCCAAGAAGACTCGTTTGTCTTAAAGCAGATTCAGTTCATAAATAATGAGATAGGAACAGGCATTTATTTGTTCATGATTGCGTTTAAATCACCAATTAGGAGCTACATACACTTTTCTTGCCAATTTGCCAAAAACCTGTTAAAAGTTTTATTAATGTGAAAAGAGAGGGCTGTGCTTCCTCCCGGACAGCCGGGGCCAGGCAGCGCCAAGCCTTGCTCATGTGCTGCGCACTTCAGAAACCAACCCCGGGCTGAACCAGCCCTTCCTGCTCAGGTGGGGGGTGCCCTAGGCTGTCCTCCACTTCTCAGCCACCCCAAGTCTTCCTGGCTGCTTGTCCCTCTCCCGGGCCTGGCCCCCGAGACCCCGCATCTCCTGCTTGATGCTGTTTTTGTTTTTGTTTTTAAGTTTTATTTATTTTTGACAGAGAGACACAGTATGAGCGGGGGAGGGGCAGAGAGCGGGAGACACAGAATCTGAAGCAGGCTCCAGGCTCTGAGCTGTCAGCACAGATCCTGATGCGGGGCTTGAACTCACGGACCGTGAGATCATGACCTGAGCCGAAGTCGGACGCTCAACCGACTGAGCCACCCAGGCGCCCCAGCTTGATGCTGTTTTTAACTGACTTGCTGGTTCTCCATTTGTCAGTGCAGGAGGCATCTATGTTTTTCAGGAACAGCCAGTTTGGGGACCTCGTATATTCTGGGAAAATGGTTGTTTTCCATGTTCCCACGTGGAATCTGCCTGGACTGAATCTGTCTGGAAAAGCATCATTGGCCTATGCCCAGACAATGCCTGGGGAGGACGTGCTCCCACCCCGCTTGGCCGTCTGGGTGGCCACACTTGCCCAAACCAAACATTTTACCTTCTGGAAATAAAAGTTGCAGTTGAGTGCCAGATGGAAAGCACACTGGTGTCTGTAGGAGGCTCTGGGCACAGGCATCCAGGCTTTTGCCAGAGCCCAGAGCTCCACTTCAGAATCACGGAGGCCCCTGGGCCTGCCCTGGTCCTTAGGTCCTGGGCTCCTTGCTCCCCTGCACCCGGGATGTGGCTGTGGGTTCCGCCACTCACACTTCCTTCCACAGCACCTAGCTCAGGCTTCAGGGCTATCCTGGTTTTCTCCCTTTCCTCTTAGAGCAGGCTTGCTGGGTGACTCACCGCTACCTGATCCCCTTATCTTCATGCCCCTCCACTCTGCCACCAGAGGAGTCTTCCTGGGCCCACAAATTGGGATAGGCCATCCCTCACTGTACCTGTGGGCTCTTATGCCAGGCCATCCAGAGTGCAGGGCTGTGCAGGCTGTGCGTCCGGTGACTTCTGCTTCCTCCATTTATTTTGAGAGGGAGAGAGAGAGCTGGGGAGGTGCAGATGGAGACGGGGAGAGAGAGAATCCCAAGCAGGCCCTGAAATTGTCTGTGCAGAGCCTAACACAGAGCTTGAACCTACAAACTGTGAGATCATGCCCTGAGCTGAAATCCAGAGTTGGACATTTAACTGGCTGAGCCACCCAGGCACCCCGTGCAACTTCTTTCTTGTATTTGTTTCCATTTTGCTAGAGCTTCTCCTTGAGCATCTTTGCTGTTCCAGGGGTCTCCTTCTAGCATCCTCTTATTTCACGACAGTAATAACCTCTCACATCACTTAGAGTCTTTTGTGTCTCTTTTGTGGGCAGTCAGGGCTACAGTGGCTGGCATGGACACCGAGCCTGCAGGCGCAACACTGATCCTGCAGAGGGTGGGGGAACCTGTATGTTAGGATACAGTGTGGGCCTCTGGCGAGAGCCCTGCCCAAAAGGTACCCACAGCCTCAGCCTGTGGGGGTGGCGCCCCCACATGGGCCTGCAGCTGAGAGGACCAGGCTGTACACTGGCTTTCTGGTACCACTGCCTGCGGTGTCCCCTTGCATGGACCCAGCATGCATGTAGCAGATCTGGAATTCATACTCGTGACTTAATCCCAGACCCTGGGCTCATTCTCCCTTGTGGCTTAGTGAAGCAGCCCAGCCCAGACCCACACACCTCCAGTTCACTAGGCATCAGAGAGCAGGCCACCTGTCCTTTCAACGCCCCTAACCCCTCTGCACCTCAGATTCTTCATCTGCAAACCGGAGGATATCCTCTTGTTGACAAGGGATTATGTGTGACTCCGTGATGACTGCATGTTGTCGTGACATTATCTGTACAGTGGAGCCTCCCCACCATGGAGTGGTGGACCTACATTGCACAGAATCGCCTCCACTTCCAAGCACCACAGGAGGGGGCGTCATTGTCCCTGTGTGGTGGATGAGGGAGGTGAGACACTAGGGATGCAGATGGCTGGGGACCCAATTCTGGTCTGTGGTACTCTAGCACCCAAGCCTGCTCCTTGTGGCTGCAGCTGTCCCCTCCAGATGGTGTGGGGCAGAGTCTGGCCCATGTCAGGTCAATGGTGAGCCAGGGCCTGAGTATGACCTGGCTATGTGGACCAAAAAGGCACACCTTCCAGCCCAGGCGCAGGAGGGCCTGGTGACACAAAACACCACTGTGATGCCCAGTGTAGAGGTGAGGGGTGCTGGGAACGGCCAGGCTCCAAATAGAGTTCCCACTGGTGCACACCATGTTCATTTCCTAGGCTTACTGGTGGTCTCCACATGTTCCCTACACAGGGAACTTCTGTAAACCGTTTGATGCTCCTGTGATGGTTCAGAGTTGTTCACATGAAAACCCACACCAGGAAAGAGAAGGAAGCAGAGATCAGGCGAATGGGCAAACTGAGTCAGTGCCGAGCAAGCCTCCCACTCAGTGAAAAGGTAAAATCGGGAGAGGCCGGAGGCGGCTGCCAGGTGGTGATGCTGGTTAGAGGGACATGCCGGTCACTCAGGAATGACGCGTGAGTTTTGCAACACCCGGCAGTGCCCAAGCCCACGAGCCTGTGCGGCCTAATTAGGAGGCTCGGCTCCCAGGTTCCTACGGGGAGCAGACAGAAACTCGCAGCAGCCTTGGCTAATCGCCTTAAAAGTCTCTTGTTTGTATAGCACAGGCTCGACTTGGCGCCGGCCCAAATCAACTTGTTTTCTTACTGTCAGGTTCAGATTCTGGAGATGCCATCCAAGACGTCAGTGTGCACCCTGAAGCCGGAGGCAGATGCCAAGCCGGGCATGCCCATGTGCCTGGAGCTGTGGCAGGTAAGGCCCAGCGCACGCCAACCACGCCCTGCCAGCCACGCCTTCCGGGCCGTGAATCATGCCCCATTCAGGATTTGGTTTATCGTCAAACCAAAGGACAATTAGCCCCCTGGGAATACATGTACACACTGCCTTCCGCAGCCTCGGTATCCCAGCCAGCTCCTGTTGTCCTCCTGCCGCTGCTGCTACTCGTGCAAACTGCCCAGGACAGGCCTAGCTTGTGCTGTCCTCCACAGGGTGCCCCCCTGCCCATGCGGTGAGGAGGGACAGCTGGGTCAGCTAAGCTCCGCTCCTCTCTGCACACCAGTCCGCAGCCCTGCAACTGTGCACGGGGTTAGGAGGGAAGTGCTGGCTAACCCTGCAAGCCTGCCTGGCCCCTGCTCTGCTTGGGATTACTTTGTGTTACTTCTTTGCCTCATAGAGGCAAGAGTGGGCTTTAACACGTTGTCTTTGCCTGCAGCCACACTTGGCGTTTCTGATTGTCTAAGCCATTTCCTTGTTTCTTGACTATTCTGATTAGAGAGAGTCCGGAGGCATCTCCTGGGGCTGGCAGCCGAAGCCTGGGGCCGGGGAATGGGTCGAAAGCCTGAGTGCTGGTTTTGGCTTGAGCTCCAAGCCTGAGGCCTGGGAGGATTCCTCCTGGGGCCACCCACTTACCTCTACCAGAGGCCTCATTTCTTCTCAAGGCACAGCCTCCTCTCCCCCACAGGGGTCAGTAGTGGCTCAAAGTGTGTGTTTCTGCTCCTCACGGCTGCTAGTGTTTGGGGCAGCAAAGCAAATGGTCTGGTGTGCTCACTTGGAAAGAACCCAGGCAGTATCTTGGCCATGGTAGAAACCGTGGTGAATAGGTCATTGACCAGTGCTTGCCTGGGAGTGCAGTTTATAGGCACTTTCCCAGCTCTGTTCAGTTCAGCAGCACCTTCTGAGAAGCCACCCTGAGCCTGCCGGAGATCAGGAGGAGGTGATTTCCTGCCTCGTGCCTCACTGCTCATTTGAACTTTTCATAAGATGGGGTTGGGCAGTTTGGAGGTGTCTGTGGGACCAACAGGACCCAGGGGGCCAGGCACCCCAGAGACCCTGCCTCAAGCTTTTTGACCCTCCAGGGACCTGCTCTTTCTTGCCATTGGTTTCCCCTTGCAATTTCTTATCTGAGAACATTCCAGTTGGAATTTGTTTCCAGTTGGAAATCTCTGACAAGCTGATCCTGTGGTGTCCTGCTGCTGCTGTATCTCTCAGAAAGAAGCCCACGGGGAGCTGAGTTTGTGGGGGCTCCAAGAGGCGTGCCTGAATGACAGAGCTCCTGGCACCAGCTGGTATATGGCGGGGAACACCCCGAGGCCGTGACGCCTTGGGCCCTGGCGTGGTGCTCACAGGTCCTAGGGAGGACATCCCGGCTGCATCCGCTCATATTCCGCGCCCTGGAAGCACTGCCATTGTGTAATCATGTAAAAATTCCAGCAGAAAAATGTGTAGAAATGGGATGTACAAACTTGTTAAGGTAATTAATATAGTTGACAGAAGGACAAATCGAGTTTTTGTTAGTTGATACAGATCCAACGCAGGGCATTCTGTTTTTAAAAAAAAAAAAAAAAAGTCAACACTAATTTGAAAGGTCCTTTTTTTTTCCCCTCTCCAAACCTGAAGGCCCAGGTTGTAATTTATTAATCTGAGTGTGGCAGAATGGCCTGACGTATTTTTCACTGAAACATTCAGATGTATTCTTGCTTTTTATTTTATTTTATTTTATTTTATTTTATTTTATTTTATTTTTTCAACATTTATTTATTTTTGGGACAGAGAGAGACAGAGCATAAACGGGGGAGGGGCAGAGAGAGAGGGAGACACAGAATCGGAAACAGGCTCCAGGCTCTGAGCCATCAGCCCAGAGCCTGACGCGGGGCTCGAACTCACGGACCGCGAGATTGTGACCTGGCTGAAGTCGGCTGAACCGACTGCGCCACCCAGGCGCCCCTTGTTTTGCTTTTTAAAGCTGTTGACTTGCATTGTTAGGATGATCATCATACAAAAGATCAGGAATATCCATCACAGTAGCTCTAAGAGGCTCCCGACCCCTGGGCCTAGGGATCCCTCCAGTGAGCTGGGAGCTTCCCACAGGACTGGTCCCAGGAGGTACTGTAGGCATGGCCTGCCCAGCCCACTGGAGTCCCACCCAGTCAGCACAGGATAGGACAGGACACAAAGCAAGTCCTTTTAGAAACTTCAGGTCCTCGTCCTGTGGAGAGCAACCTGTCACCAAAGGTCGGAGGACATGAGACCACTGTCCTGCCTGTGGTGTCTGTCCCTGGGGGCCACAGGGGCCCTGCAGCACAGGTGGGGGGCGGCAGCCATCAGGGCTGGAGCTCAGCATTTGGTCACCCTTGGCAACAACAAGGTGAGTCGCTGCAGGTCAGTCTGGCTTCTGATCTGGACCCCCTGTGGTACCTTGATAGGTGGGTGAGTAGCATGCTGCCCCTGAACTAGCTGGGATGCTCAGAACCCAGAAACCACAGGCATCATGTGGACTTGAGCTACAGAGACAGACCAAAGCCAGTGTGTTGGCACTGGGAGGAGCCCCAGATGAGGGAAGAATGTACCCAGGGGATCAGAGGGTGGCAGATCCCTGGGGGAGGAGCAGACTGGGCTGAAGCAGGGTGGATGGAAAGCAGGCAACAAGACAGATCACTGCCCTGAGGGGAACAAACCCAAGTGGGCCCCAGGTAAGTTCCTCAGACCTGGCCTGTGGGGTGGGGTCCAGCAGATCTGGTCTAGGAGGTTGGCATGAGTTCCTGGTTGGCATGCAGAGCATTGGGCTGTTCTCACCTGGCTGTCACCCTTCCTTGAGTCCAGATATATATGGCTGCTCATGAGGGGAGGCCCTGCCTGGGGAGGTACAGCTACCTGAAAGGGGGATGCCAGAGCAGAGGGCCTGACCGCTTCTTAAAGTAGTCTGTCCATCCTTGGAGAAAAGTGGTGTAAACAATTTTATACCTCACAAATAAGTTCCAATCAGTTGACTTGAAAGATAACAAAATGGAGCTTTTCTCCATTTTAAAACTACAGGGAAAGTACACCAACACTGTCATGGCTTTGCATGGGAGGTTAGACGGAACCAGTGACCACGCTTAGCTGCTCCCAGCCTTGGCCCCTGCATGGCAGGCATCACCAGATGCTGTGCACACACAGGGTTCATGGTCACAGGGCCCATATCCTGACTGCTTGCCCAGTCGGGCCTGCCAGGAGGCAGTCACCATGCAAGAGGCCCCAGGGAGGAGCACAGGCTGCCCCAGGCTAAGTGAAACTAGGAAGCCTTTCTGTTTTTGTTTGTATGAACATGTATTATCATCAGAAAAAATGTATAAGCCATTTCCGAGGAAATGTAGGAGGTGTCCTCCAGACTAGCTCCGGCCTGGGAGGATTCACTGTGCTGTGTGCAAGTCTTAGTGGCTGTGTCAGACTCCCCCTGGCTCCCATCACTAACCAGGGCCCCAGTGACATACAGCACACCCTGAAGCCTCAGTTTCCCCTTCTGATACACGGAGAAAGCCTTGTTTCCGTGTGTTGAGGTTGTAGTATCCACTCGATAGACACAAGTCCTCGTGCCTTCTGGCTAACCCCAGTTACCTTACTCAGCTGCACAAGCCTGTCCTTTCTGAGCACTTCTAAATGTGGAGAGGCACTCTGTGTGGTGCGTACAGCATCCAGGCCCAGAGCCCCTCTGGGCAGATAGAAGCACCCGTGCAGCTCAGTAACAAGGAGCTCCAGCAGGTGGACAAGGAGGGCCTCCATGGCCTTGTCGGCCCATGACCAGTGAGGCCCAGGCACTCTCCTCACCACCAGCCTTGAGACCTGCAGTAGACCATCCTGGAGGTTGCAGGTGATGCAGGAGGCAGCCTCTCTCTGACCAGCCCCTAAGGCCCCATCCTCACCACTGACCATCCAGGGGCTGTGGGCCAAGCCTAGTCAGTTCCCTAAGGCTCAGTTGAGCTCCTGGCCCTTGGAAAATTCACTGGGGAGGGGACGTGCTCAGTTATTTCTGACACTTGGAGTGACACCAACCCCAGGCAGCTTAGCAGGAAATGCAGAGATGAGTGAAGAGCAAAAGGCATCGGCTGGCGTGTGCTTTGTCCCAGGAGCAACCTGGGCGCCTGTGCTGGAGACTGGGCACCAAGCATGGGACTGCCGCTTTCAGTGCTGGGGTGACATGGAGTCCCACGGTGCTCCCCTGGAGTTGTTGCCGAGGCTAGATAAACGAGGCGTCTGCCCAGGGTGCGGAGCCCTCTGACCTGCGTCCTCATTCATCACAATAGCTCAGGGCCGGCCGGCAGAGCTCGGCTCACACCAGTCAGCGCCCTGGCGACTCACCAGGCCTGGGGGGTGGGGGGCTTCCACGGCGACGTTGACAAAGCACAGAAAGTTCATTTTTCATTGAGATGGAGCTCGCGATTTCCTTTGGCTGGCAGTTCTAGACAGGTGACCGCCTCACGAAGGGGTGGCCACAAGTCTCAGCCTGCAGAAAGGAGACATGAAGAAGCGGCAGCACCCGGGCTGGCGAGCAGTGGCATGGCAGTGTGAGGCGGGGGCCGTGCTGGGCTATCCCAGGCTCTGTCCCCCCCCCCCCAGGGTGAGTCCTCGGGGTGCCCCAGCACCGGCCCGTGCCAGCTTTGTGCCGATGGTGCCGGCCATCAGAGTGGCACGCAGAACCTCCGAACTGTTACTGCCGGTGTGGGGAACACGGGAAACAGCTCCCCGGCTGGGCCACCCCCAAGGCCCAGTGGGGGAGCTCACCCATCTCTGGAGCCCCTTCTCCCCCAAAACATACCAGGACCTTTTGGGAGCTGACCGCTGTGCTGTCCCCGCAGGCCGAGTCCAGTCCCCGCCCACTCCTCCTGGCCGGCTATGAGGACGGATCAGTGGCACTGTGGGACGTCTCTGAGCGGAAGGTGTGCAGCCGTGTCGCCTGCCACACAGAGCCCGTCATGGGCTTTGACTTTGACTCCCAAAAGGCCAGGGGCGTCTCGGGCTCTGCGGAGAAGGCGCTGGCTGTCTGGAGCCTGGATGAGCAGCAGGCCCTGCAGGTCAGTGCGCCAGACCCGAAGTGTCATTTATCCTGCTTTGCACTAACAGTCTGATAGGCTGAAACAATATTTAGGCATGAAGAGGAGTTGTTGCAGATCCCTGGCTAATTAATCACTGCGAGGCGGGGTGCAGGCCAGCCTGTCCGCGGGGCCGGCGCAGGAAGAAGGGGGCGTGGGCGTTTGTGAACCGTTCACATGGTTTGGGTTTCTCTCAGACCTTGGGTTAACAGCAGTCACGTCTTGTCCATCTAGAGAAAAGGCATGTAGAGTCCAGGAGTAGGCAAGCCCATTTGCAAAAACTCAGAGGAATTCGGTCAGTAAGGAACTGATTAATCAACAAAAACCGACCCAGTGTGGAGAAATCCACGGAGTCACGCCCCCGGGGCAGTCTGTAAGCCAACCCCAGGGAAGCCATTCCTCACGGCCAGAGGCCACAGCCAGGAAGGGGTGTGAGGCCTCAAGGCGGAGCGGGGCGGTGCTGAAAACCTTCCCATAATGTCTCACTGGACTTTCCCTTCCCACATGACTCGTGGAGCACCGGGAGACCAGGTCTGGGCCTGTGGCTGGTGCTCAGCATGTGGTGGCCCAGCCTGCACGCTCAGCCCTGTTTGGAACCTGGGGGGTAGAATGGGGGGGAGGGCGGGCGGGAAGCCTCACACTAGGGCAGGTCCCGGGGGGCTGCGAGTGGAAGCTGCATGGAAGGGCAGTGACGTAAACCCAGGTCTGGTGGGGGAACAGAGCCCTGCATGGGAGATGTGTGGCGCTCAGGGAGACTGCCAGCAGAAGCAGCAGCAGGCTTGGCTCCTGGCCTCACCTGGGTGCTATCACTAGAGTACTAGAGATCATGTTTGCCCTCTTCTGCAGTAGCTTGGTGGAGACAGGAGGCCGAGGATGAAGGCATTCCTTAAGGCCCCTCTCCAGATGGGAGAGCCTTGTCCACAGCCTGGCAAGCCTGCCTCACCTCACACTTGTCCAGCCCAGGCCCCCACAGCCAGAGGAAGAGGCCCTGGGCAGTGGCCAACGAGCCCCTGAGGCACATGAGTTGGGGCAGAGGAGTGGGCCCCTGAGGAAAATCAGGGCACAACACTGCAGTGCCTAGCAGGTATCATGGGTCCTGGGTGCAACCCAGGGGTGGGACATGGCCATCAGATCATCCCAAAGGCAGGACAGAGTGAGGACAGCAGGGGCAGGGGTTTCACATGGTGGGTGAGAAGTCCTGAGGGAAAGGGAAACTGAGAACGAGCAAGGTGAGAGGGTGCTAGAGAGAATGGTAATGGCCATTCTCCATAATAGAGAGACCCGAGGATGGAACACTGAAGTCAAGCAGAGTGGGACCTGGGAGGGGCCTTTCATGTCCAAGCTGGAGTTGGAACTGGCATCCTAAAAAGAGTGGTCCCATCAGAGAACAGAGGTGAAAATCAGAGCTAGGAGCAGCAGGGCTGGAACTGTACATGCTGTCCTGGTATCTCTCCAGGTGGGACCTGAGCAGGGACCCGAGGATGGGGAACAGCCAGCCAGAGCCCAGAGAGAGGGGAAAGGGGGGGTCACATGTCACATTTGGGGACAGGGCACACATTCATGCTTCCTTGGCATTACTCCTCTCCAGCAGACCGACTTGTGTCAGCACACCGGCTTGTGTCAGCACATGGCTGACTTGTTGTAAAGCCAGCTACCCATCTGTCCTCTGTCCTTATGTTGTCTCAGAGTCCATGGAGGCCCTGCAGGAAGCAGGGTTAGACAAGCCTCCAAATGGGGCCCGAGCTGGCTGTCAAGGACCAAGTTTCTCATGCCTCCATCCTGGTAGGAGGGTCCCAAGGCATTGAAATTGTGGACTTGGGTGGGGATGGGAATGAATGTCTTCATGATGGTTTCATGATGACTGTCATCTTTTTTTTTTTTAAAGTTTGAGAGCGAGAGGAGCGTGTGAGTGCACGGAGGGCAGAGAGAGATAGAGAGAAAGAGAGAGAGAATCCCAAGTAGGCTCCACACTGTCAACACAGAGTCCAACTCAGGGCTCAAATTCATGAACCGTGAGATTACCACCTGAGCCAAAATCCAGAGTTAGTTAACCGACTGAGACACTCAGGCACCCCGGCTGTCATCTTTAAGAATGGGGCAGAGCCACTCTGGTGCTGGGTCTTCATGTCCTCAGCAGTGGAGGTCACCTTGCTGGGTGTCAAGCCCAGCCAGGTGGGCAGTGGAGTTCTCCCTCATACCCTTCTCTCTGCCTCTCGAGCCTGGTGGGGACCAGGCAGTGCCCCCACCTTCCCACTGTGGGGTCCAGTGCTCCATCCTGTTGTGGCTTGAACTTCATGAGCCTTGACCTTGCAAAGAGCTGAAGACTCAAGTGGCTTCCCTGAGAACCCCGCCCCAAGCCCCTGGACCTCTGGAAGGGTCCCCTTCTGCTGACCTGGCCCAGATCTGCCTGGTTTCTGCTGGCTTTTTTGGGAAACAGCTGCTGGAACTTAAGACTTAAATTTATGGTGCATGTTCCAGTCCAGAGATGAACTTTTATTATACTGATGAATTGAAAAGTTGAAGCACAGGGGATTATTAATGAATTTGAAAGTTAAAGCAGAAGGGGAGCCATGCATTGTGGAATGGACGTGGTGGTTACACGATGGTGTCACGCCAGGCTAGGGGGGCTCACTCAGTAGTACACATCAAAGGAGGAGGACAGCGCTTCTCCTGCTGAGCACAGTCGCTAAAAACGGCCGCCTCACCCAGAAACAACTGCACATCAGTTTCAGAGTTGGCCCCAGAGGCCCTGGAAATTTTCAGGTTGTGACGCACAGGCCTCTGAGGAAGAAGTATCAGGGGCCAGCACCCATGGGCATCCACAGGCATCCTCGCCCCAGGGCCCTCGGCACACCGTGCTGGCCCTGCGATGTGGCCGCCCGCCCTAGTCCTTGAGCCACGTGGGCACAGATGTGCCTCACCTCACAGCCTGCTGTTGGACTCTCTAATGAGCCCAAATCAATCTCTCCCGGGCCGGCGCTGGGAGCAAAGACGCAGATGAGGTTTCCCGCAGCAGAGCGTGGGTAATGGGAACCAGATGGCGGCTTTGCTGCGTGCACATTCCTGGCACCTGAGGTCATGTGCTATGAGAGCCACTAGTGGCCACGGATCCTTCCCAGAGGGTCCTCATCCAGGATGGGTGCGGCCAGGGGCCACAGCAGTGACCAAGGGCCTTCAGCCACTCTCATCCAGACACTATGGCCTCAGGAGCACGTGGTGACACTGGGCCACTCGCCTGCCTTCCAGAGGTGGCTTTCCCTCCAGCCTCCAAGGGATTGGGCCTTGGCTGTCGTCAGACACAGGTGGTGTGCAGACCTGCTCCTTCCTTCCACACTTGGGCAGGGCCCATGGCCTTGAAGCAGGGACTGATTTACAGCCAGCAGTATTTTTAGGCCTTTAAGTAATATTAAGCACCCCCCCCCCCCACCAACCCCAGGCAGCCTGGGCCAGGAATCAGACCAACCACACTTTCCCCGCATTGCACCGGCAGCTGGTTGGCCAGGCATCCTCCCGTCCTGCTGTGTGGCCATTGCCCTCTTTCTCCCTGACCTTCTTCTCCTCAAAAGTATCAATAGCAGGTCATGTGGGACAGGTAGGAAGGAGACTGGAGGGCCCCGAGACCAAGAAAATTGTGGACACAACCCAACCCACCATATGCATCTCAGGAACATAGCAGAACCAACAAAGCTCTGGCCACCATCACCACAAACAGTCCCTGTTGGGCCGCCCTCCTCCTCTTCCTCCTCCTCCTCTGGAATACAAGCCTGGGACAGGGACTGGCCTCATTTGGTTTAGGTCCCCATCAAAGCTTTTGCAGTTGCTTCTCTTCATTCCTGCCAGGGGAGCCTGCCTTGTGCTTCTGCCTCAGGGCCAGAGTCACTCCTGCCCCCGTGGGCAGCACTGGGTGTCTTAGCCCCTTCTAGGTGGCGACACTGGCATGGAAGGTGTTCTCTGCCCTGCACCCAGCTTCCAATGTGTAAGAACCCCAGTTCAGGAGCCTCTCTGGAAACTCACATTCCTCTTCCATTTGTCCTGGACTCTCAGTGTTCATCAGCAGAGAGCAAACTTGAAAGCATCCCTTATCTCTCTGTGAAATACTCCCCCTGTTAACAAATTCACATGAAGATGGACTATGAAGGAGGAAATCTGGAAGCAGGGCCCCAGGTGGGTTCCAGGGAGTCCATGGCTCTGAGCCCAGGAATCCCCTGGCTAACCACTGGCTTAAGGCAAAGTCCACAGAAGAGCAAAGTATGAGGGACAGTGATGGTCATCAGTCCTCATTCCCAGCCACCCTGTCTGGTCCGTGAGAATGGAGAGAGGTTCAGGCAGATGCACACCCTCACATGCAGGCACACATAGCATTTGCCTTCTCACACCTGCACAGAGGCTTCGGCTCCCACAGTCCTCCAGTGCAGGCCAGGCTTGGCAATTGCGGTCCGTGAACTGTAGAACCAGGCACTGGACAGAGCCCTGGAAGAGCAGGAGGGGGCCCTTGACCAGGAGATGCGGGGTGGGCATGGAGGTCCCTGGACAGGTCACTGCAGAGCTGCCCATGTGCTGATGGCACTGGCTAGGAACCCAGGACATCCCAAGTAGAGGCTGGGACTACGGCAAGGATCCTGGCCATGCCATGGGTTGGATGGCACACCCCATTTGCTGTGGGATTTTAGCAGGTTCCCGTCACATCAGATCCCCATTCTACTCCTAGCAGGGAAAGAATCGGGATTGTGAATGGATGTTGAGCTGTCAGACTCAAGGCTTTTCTTCTCAAGTCAGTTAATTTAATATATTGCATGTTTTTGGTTTTTATAATATTAAAACAACTATATAGTGCTAAAATAACCCACTACATAGCATGACCATTTCCGCACTGTGGTGCTGGGCCGGAGTTGTTCAGGACCATCCGTCTGTCTCTCAGTAGACTAAGTTTCACCCCCTCTCTTGTTACCCCACTCTGCTTATGGTGTCGGGGTATCAGGAGC